TTTTTTTTTTTTTTTCCCATCCTGTTTTGAACACTTCAAAGCCAATCCTGTCCAATTTGGATTCCCCCCACCCTCACCCCTACCAGGACGTTTGGCAAAGCAGCAAGCCTATTTTTAATTATTGCACTTCCAGTAAAAAAAGGGAGTTGCTAAAGTCATACCCAGAGATCTGCAGCTATCACTCACAGCACCTGAAGGGTTCTTAGTAAAGTCCTTTAAAAACAGGAGGTGCTTGGGAATATGCCTTGCTTTGGGTGTGTCTGCAGCCTCATTAAGTCTTAGGTAAGAATTGGCATGGATGCCACATCCTGGTACATGGTAATTTTCTCACCTGTGCCCTAACTCTGCTCAGCCTTTCTGGGGAGAAAGGAAGATGGTGTCTAGATCTGGTTCCAAGTTTTCTTCAGAGCCCCTCATGACGTGGCAATACTTGGTATTTGCATAGCATTGGTCCAATGCTATATAGTGCCTAGGTTTAAGCAGGCATTACTAACGGTGATCTCCCTCTCCTTTCCTGCAGAGGAAGAACAAGAAGATGAGGAAGAAATTGATGTCGTGTCTGTGGAAAAGAGGCAGCCCTCTGCTAGGAGGTCCGAATCAGGGTCATCCCCATCCGGAGGCCACAGCAAACCCCCACACAGCCCGCTGGTTCTCAAAAGATGCCACGTCTCCACTCATCAGCACAATTACGCAGCGCCCCCCTCCACGAGGAAGGACTATCCTCCAGCTGCCAAGAGGGCCAAGTTGGACAGTGGCAGGGTCCTGAAACAGATCAGCAACAACCGCAAATGTGCCAGCCCCAGATCCTCAGACACAGAGGAGAACGACAAGAGGAGGACACACAACGTCTTGGAACGCCAGAGGAGAAACGAGCTGAAGCGCAGCTTTTTTGCCCTTCGTGACCAGATCCCGGAGTTGGAAAACAATGAAAAGGCCCCCAAGGTAGTTATCCTCAAAAAAGCCACCGCCTACATCCTGTCCATCCAAGCCGAAGAACGCAAGCTCATCTCAGAAAAGGACTTACTGAGGAAGCGGAGAGAACAGTTGAAACACAAACTCGAACAGCTTCGAAACTCTGTTGCGTGAACTGACCTATGGGGAGGAGGAGCTGGAATTGCTCCGGAATCGTCTCTCCTTCCTCAGGGAGAGTAGGGAGAGCGCTTCCTCCTCTTAGAACTGATGCGCTGGACTTCAAATGCATGCTCGCAGCCTAACCTCACAACCTTGGCTGGGGCTTTGGGACTGTAAGCTTCAGCCATAATGTTAACTGCCTCAAACTTTAGGCATAAAAGAACTTTTTTATGCTTCCCATCTTTTTTCTTTTCCTTTAGCAGATTTGTATTTAATTGTTTTTAAAAAAGAAAAAAATCTTAAAGTTTACCCACTTTTCCAATGTAAATAGGACCCTTAAATGTAAATAACTTTAATAAAACGTTTATAACAGTTATACAAGATTTTAAGACATGTATTATAAACCATAATTTTTTTTATTTAAATACATTTTCATTTTTAAAGTTGATTTTTTTCTATTGTTTTTAGAAAAAAATAAAATAATTGGAAAAAATATAATTAAGCCTACTCTTGTGTTTTGTTTCTTTCCGATCCCAGTTTTTTCTTCCTCAATTACAGATGAACCGAATTTGACCATTTTCACAAGGTGGGTTGTTGGCAAAGATGGGAAGGAAGGGTTAGCGTAAAGAGAGGCAAGGGGTTTTCTTTGGCAAAATGGGGCTGGGGGCCTCCAGGCCTTTAAACTCTCGGGGTTATGAGACACTTCCTGCAAATGGTGATAAGAACCAGAGTTGATAGTTGGGAAAGGGCAAAAGGCAGCTGAGAAGGTTAGATTCAGGAGGAGGAGAGGCAAGAGGTTAAAGATAACAGTTAACTATACAGAGATGGCAAAAATCCCCCGCAGTTAACTGAGGCCATTCCCCTGTTCACTTCAAGCCAGGGACTCTCCCCTGCAGTGGAGCTGATGGGGGGAAGGGAGGGAGCCACCTTTTGTTCTTTGCCTGTTGCTCCCAGGTGGCAGCCCCTTCCCCTCTCTTATCTCTTAAGCCTCTGAAGAAGAATGTTGGGTTTCACTTGGTTTCCTAAACAAGCTCTAAAGGTTCCGAGGGCTGGAGAGCTAAATGTGTAGGGACACAGAACAAAATTCAGAATCTAGCCCCCCACCCCACCCCCGAGTCCCGTCTTGCTGCATGCCTTTGCTCATCTGGGTGTCCTCAGATGGGGGAAGCTGCTGGCCAGGGGGCTGAGAATGAACTCACTTCTTCCGGGCACTGCTCTGAGCTTTGATGTAGAAGTCTACGGTTGTGCCATGAAAGAGGTACTGTGGTTTCCTCATACAGATGGAAACAGACATGAAATGACCCATCTGTGCACCCCAGGGATTTAACATAATTAACACTCAGTTCATCCAGGAAGAATAACCCTGCTATCTATGAGCACAGGAATCATTTAAGTTTCAATAGTCAGACCTGCTCAAGCATCAGTTTCCCTTTTTGTTGGTGGCTTTTTTCTGGGCTTTGGGGGAGTTATGTTGTTAGCTATGGCTCAGTCTTTCACTCTGAGAAGAACATAGCTCATTCACCCCTGCCTTACCCATTTTTCTTTCTTTTTTTTTTTTTTTTT